GTGTGTGTGTGTGTGTGTGTGTGTGTGTGTTTGGGGAGTGGTAAGTGATTCAGCAGAGACCATTACAAGTCCCTGCTGATCGGCAGTACCACCAAGAAAACTCAATTGTGCAAAGCTGACAAGCATTTCCATTGCAGTATGGGCTTTGTTAAAGTCAATATATGCCTTGTTCAAATTGTCATGTTCCCAGATTTCAGCAAAAACCGAGTACCTGTAATAGAGTCCTTTAGAGAGATCCCCTTTGGAAAGAAGCATTGGTCAGCATGTCCGAGACACAGTTTGGGATGAAGCACGCGGATCCAGAAGGAAGGTGCATCCTGCACTCTACATCCCTCAAGGGGGTGAATGGAGGGTCAGGGAACAGGCAGGAAACACTGTCTATTTTTAATAACCAGGGTGCTTTGCCCTGATTTTGCTGCGAATAATGAGGACAGGAGGAGCGGCTGCTGAACTGATTTGCACCAGTGGTATCTAGCCTGGTGATGCGCAATGAGAGTTGGGAGCTGACCAACTTTCTATAAATGTCTCTATTGAGACTGACATGTATGTTAAGGAAGGAATTTGTACGCAACTGATAAATTATACCAGAGATAAGACCCAAGGTATCCATCCTATAGATTTAGAAGTGCACCAGAAACTAAGCAATCCAACAGTTAGTGCAGGGGTGTTTGAGGGGAAAAACCCCAGCCATCACTTTTCTTTCTTTTAGCCAAATTCATTATAAGCAACAAATTTATTGATAGTCTGATTTCCCCCCAAATATTTCAATATCCTCCTGTAATAACATAAACTTCCTAATTCAATTTTCTCAAACCCATGTACAATAACTTTTTAAAAGTTCCCAAGTGATAACAGTCACACTTAAGTTACATGCAGAAAATACTAGAAGCGGACATATTCCAAGTCCTATGAGAATGAATATTTTGAATGTCTTTTACTAGCTTTTGAGAAACAGAAACATTATGGAGCAAACTATCTAGCTTTTTGGTACTGACCTATGTGTGCCAGAAATGCAAACATTTCAAATCTTTCACCAATTTTTTTACATGACTGGCAGGCTATCAGTCTATCCAAACCATAAAACAGAGCACAATTCACCCGATAGCTAAATTTGCTACTGCTCTTCATTTTTTTTGTAAAAAACGCACTGAAAAAAGTAATTTAATCTGGAGTCCTCGGGTTCAGAGTTTAATGTACTGGCCTGCTTACTGAAAGTCAGTGGTTCAAATTCACCAGTCAGTCTGAGGGAGAAAGAGAGGTAATTTCCACCCACAAAGATTTATAGCTTCAGAAACCTGGTGCAGGATCACCAAGAGTCAGAACAGACTCAAAAGCAGTGTCTTAGTTTTAGATCCTTATTTATAGAGGCTTTCTTGTGTTCAGGTTTGTTGTTCCAAACTATACATATGGACACTATCTATAGGGGGGTTTCCCCCCTCTTGTCATGTACTGTCGAATGGAATCTGACTGGCACAGGAGCAGAGTACTCCTCCTTCTCCAGCAGAGCATCTGGTGGATTCGAACCATGTACCTTCGGACTGCAGTGCAGTTTCTTGCTGCTAGGCCATCAGAGGTCCCTGGTGGGTTTTTTTGTTTGTTTGTTTTTTTGGTTGGGTTATTTTTTTAAATTATGTGATTGCTAAACCTAAACTTTATACAGCAAGAAGAGTACAAAACCAAGTTTTTCATAGAGTGGTCAGATCTTCTCTCTGTAAGGCTCGAGGAACACCATCATGTACACTCACTCATTTTCAACACTTAAAACTACAGGGTAGTATGATATCTAGAAGTCACTCAAACTTGAACTCACTGCCATCAATTCAGTGACCTGGTACTGGGTTTCTGAAAGTGTAAATTGTAATGGGAGGAGATGATTTACCTCTCTCTCAGAGGGGCTGGCAGATTTGAACAGCCCAGAACGCAGACTTCTGGTTAGCAGTGCAATACCCTATGAACTATGCCATCAGAGATCCCTAGAAGTCACTAAATATAGGCAATGGCAACAATACACATTTGCTTAAGACTTTGCAGCTCACAGGGCATTTCTAAGAGCATTGTCATTTTGGTTCTGACTACAACCTGTGAGGTAAAACTCAAACTCATTGTCATTGAATCAACACACATAGCTGATCCTCCATTGGGTTTTCAGAAGTTGGAAATTGCGTGAGAGGAGACAGACTGCTCATCTCAATCTCACGGAGCAGCTGGTATATTTGAACTGGCAGAGAGGCACTGCCTTTCAGTTAGCAGTGCAACTCCCTATGGAACACTTGTGTGTCATCAAGTCAGAACCAGTCGACACACAGCCAACCTTCCAGTGGGTTTTCAGAGAGGAGATTTCCCATCCTTCTCCCGAGGAACAGCTGGTGGATTTGAACCATGTGCTTTTGAGATTAAAGCAACTTCTTACCACTAGTCCACCAGAGCTCCCTATGGACCATTTAAAAAAGAAATAAGCCAAGAAATGTTGAGTGATTTGTCCAGGTTACACAGGACTTGTAGCACATATCAGTATTTCTGCCACAGTGACTGGTGCTCAATTAAGTGTAAGACTGATTTTGGAACTGTGTCTACCTCCGGAATCACTGGTTCTGATTACTCTCTAGTTAACATACACACTCTCACCAACCAGTACTGAGTACTTAGTCAACTTATTTGACAGTTTGAGGTTACAGAGCAGCACATTTTAACTCAAAGAACGTTTCACTGTCAACACCTAATAGCTTAAGCTATAAAAGCTCGTTTTCTCCCCTAAGGCTTTCAAAGGTCTGTTATTCTAGCAAGTGCCATACCTGCAAGAGCAAAATATGAAACAAACAAGTGTACAAATATCACAAAATGAACGTTCATGCTTTCAGAAACAGAAACCAAGCTGTCTGGCTTGGGATAGTGTGGCTGACATCTCAGCAGAAGGTTGGAATTGGGGGTGTCCAGTCAGGTTGGAGGTTCTGCTCATCTGACTGGTGATGGAGGCCATAAGATGTAAGTCAGGTCACGGGTAGCAACTCTTCTGACTTAAGATGTGTAGGGGAAAGTGGGACATCAAGTTTGGGTTTGAGGCCAGAGTTTCTGTTCTGTAGATGTCCTTATTTGATGTTTTCCCTTCAGTTTCTGCATTCAGTCAGTATTTGAAGTCCTTCCTCCTTTTTTTTTTTTTAATCAAGAAGCAGCTATCCAAACAGAACAAGAGAGCATGGCATGGTTTTAAAATCAAGTAAAGTGTGCATCAGGGCTATACCCCTTCTCCATACCTATTCAATCTCCATGCTGAGCAAATAATTTGAGAAGCTGGTTTGAATGAAGAAGAGTGTAGAAATCAGGACTGGAGGAAGACTCTCAACAACCTGTGTTACGCTGAAAGTGAAGAAGGCTTGAAACACTTACTGCAGAAGATAAAAGACTATAATCATCAATATGGATTACATCGCACCATCAAGAAACCAAAGATCCTCAACACCAATAGGCAACATCATGATAGATGGAGAGAAGACTGAAGTTGTTAGTGACTTATTTTTACTTAGATCCTCAATGAACACTCATGAGAGTAGAAGCCAAGAAATCAAAGATGTGCAGCACTGTAGAAAACTTTGCTGTCAAGGACTTCTCCAAGGCGTTAAGAAGTAGAGATGTCATTTTAAAGACTAATGCAAGCCATGGTATTTTCAATTGCTTCCTATTCTTCTGAAAGTTAGACAATGAATAAGGAAAACCAACGAAGAATTGATCCCTTTGAATTGTGGTGTTGGTGAAGAGTACTAAATATCCCATGCACTACCAAATGAACAAACAAATCTGTCTAGGAGGAAGTGTACCAGGGTGCTCCTTAGACACAAGTAAGGTAAAACTTTGTCTCACTCTGAGCATGTTGTCAGAGGAGCCAGTCCTTGGAAAAAGGCATCATACTGGGAAAGAGAAGATGACCCTTAATAAAATGGATTGACATGTTGTTGTTGCTGTTGTTATGGGCCGTTGAGTCGCTTGCGATTCATAGCGACCCTATGTACAACAGCCCTAAACTCTGCTCTGTCCTGTGCCAATTGCACTGTCTCTGACACTCCCATCCCGATTATTCCAGTCACTGAATCAATCCACCTCATAGAGGGCCTTCCCCTCCTGCGCTGTCCCTCCACCCTCCCAAGCATGATGTCCTTCTCCTCACAACATGTCCAAAGTATGTTAGACGGAGCCTCAGAATCCTTGCCTCCAAGGAGCCACCAGGTTTAACCCTTTCCAGGACAAATCTGTTTGTTTTCCTAGCAGTCCATGGTATTCTCAATACTCTTCTCCAGCACCACAGCTCAAAGGTATCAATTCTCCTTCTATCCTCCTTGGTCATTGTCCAACTCTCTGATTCATAACAAGTGATTGCGAAGCCCATGGCCTGTATCAGATACACCTTAGTCTCTAGAGAGACACCATTGCTCTTCAGTACTTTGGAGAGGTCTCTAACAGCAGACTTTCCCATGGCAACGAGCCTTTTAATTTCCTGGCTGATGGTGCCAAGAGTGTTGACTGTGGAGCCAAGCAAACTAAAGCTGTGTACAATCTCAATCTCTTCACCATCCATTCTGATGCTGCCAATTGGTCCAGTGGTGAGAATCTTTGTCTTCTTGACATTGAGCCTCAATCCATATTGAAGGCTGCAGTCCTTGACACTCTGCAGCAGGCGTTTCAGGTCCTCTTCAGTTTCAGCAAGCAGGGTTGTGTCATCTGCATAACGCAGATTGTTGATAAATCGTCCAGTCTTGACCCCACATTTCTCCTCATAGAGCCCAGCCTCCCGGATAATCTGTTCTGCATATAGGTTGAAAAGGTATGGAGATAGGACGCATCCCTGGCGTACACCCTTCCCAATTTTGAACCATGCAGTGTTCCCTTGCTCTGTTCTGACGACTGCCTCCTGGTCCAAGTATAGGTTTTGCATTAGAACGAATGATCAAGTGTTCTGGGATTCCCATTCTTCTCAGAGTCAGCCATAGTTTGTTATGATCCACACAGTCAAATGCCTTTGCATAGTCAATGAAACACAGATAGACATTCCTCTGGTATTCCCTGCTTTCAGCTAAGATCCATCTGACATCAGCTACAATATCCCTAGTACCACGACCCCTTCTAAACCCAGCCTGGACTTCTGGTAGTTCTCTGTTGATGTGCTGTTCTGGTCGTTTTGGGATAATCTTCAGTAGAATCTTGCTTGCATGTGAAATCAGTGAGATTGTTCTGTAGTTTCCACATTCTGTTGGGTCACCTTTCTTTGGGATAGGAACAAATATAGATTTCTTCCAGTCAGTTGGCCAAGTGGTTGTTCTCCAGATTTCTTGGCACAACTTGGTGAGCACATCCAGGGCAGCATCTGTTAGCTGAAATATGTCAATTTGTATACCATCTATTCCTGTGTAGATTGACATAGTGACTTTAATAATGGGTTTGCACATGTCAAAGATGGTGTGGATGACACAGGATAGGGAAAGGTTCAAATGTGTTGTTCATAGGATTATCTACTGCCACGGACCTCTCCAGAGTATTGAAGGGCAACGATGTCAGTCTAGAGACTAAGGTGTGCCATGGTCTTCACAATTACTTGCTATGCATCAGAAATCTGGACAATGATAAAGATGATAGAAGAATAATTGATGCCTCTGAGTTGTGTTGCTGGAGAATAGTGCTGAATATAACATGGACTGCTAGGACAAGAAACAGGTTTGTGCTGGAGAGGGTGAATTCAGAGACTTCAGAGCATATTGAAAGGAAGGGTCATTCCTTGGAGAGGGACATTATGCTTGGAAGGGTGGAGGGTCAGCGCAGGAGAGGAAGACCCACGATGAGATGGACTGATTCAGTTACTGGGGTTATGGGGGTAGGTGTGACAAGAGACAATGAGGTTGGCTCAAGATAGAGCAGCATTCAGAGGTGTTGTACATAGGGTTGCTATGAGTTGCAAGCAACTCAAAAGTACATAGCAACAGCTGACTTCATCGTACCTGACAACAATAAAAACACGAATCTGTAGGATTACTTTGGGTGCAGTAAACCATGGACCACATCCCCAAATGTGTACTAGTGCTTGTATGAAATGAAAGAAAGGGGAAGGCCTTTGGGGACCTGACAGTCACTGAAGTCTTATTCACTTTCTGAGACAGCTTTGTTTAAAGAAGATGGAGGATGCTTGCCATCTGCCTGTGTTTACCGAGCCTTCATGCTGTGCAAGGTCCTCTCTGATACTTAGAGATGGAAGACCATGTTCTCAAAGCATCCCTAGCTTCTCTGGGCAAAATAGAAACATACGCATAGAGTAGAGAGCACAGCACGAGTATGACAATGATGCAGGCCACTGCTTTTCAGGTGTTCAAAGACAAGGAGATGCTCCCAGTGGACTCCTGCAGTAACCAACTCATCCAAAGTTCAGTTTCAGACTGAGCGCTGGCCAATGGTGTTTTATTTCCCACAACCTCTTTGCAGCTCTCAGAGGGTCAGGAGGGCAGGCAGTAAGATGATAGCGCCTTTCAAGTTTCTGATTGCCTATCATTAGCATCAGAAGTAAAGCATCTCAGCATTTCTCCTCCTGAATGATTTATCTGGGGGCTCTAGTGTTCCCTCTCCCTGAGGTATTAGGAGGGAGAGGCTCTAAGTAACTTTGGAAACTGAGACTGAAAGAATATATGGCCAGTGAAAGGGGTGACTGCCCAGTGGAATCATGAGTTCAATGCTAATTTATCAAGAGAGAGAATCTGAATGCTGCCATCTCTAACAGTTTCTTTCTTGTTTTTTTAGGGATAAGACCACGTGAATATGTCCAAACAGCCAGTTTCCAATGTCAGAGCCATCCAGGTAAGTGGACATATTTGCATTTTAACATCACCTCTGCCTGCCACTTCCAGCCCGTTTGCTTAATGAATCATACCCTTTGAGGCTGCTCACCCTTAACCCATGGCTAACTTCAAGAGGAAAGTTCTTTATGAGACTTTAAGGTACAAGTGAGACAAGAGAATGTTTTTGTTTAATTGTTAGTGGTAAGACAAGAGAAGTTTATGAATAAGCTATCTTTTATGAAAACATATATAGTTCTCCCAAATACGTTGGTTTTCATATGTATGTTTTTAAGAACTCACTGAAAGAGACTGAAAATACTAAATGTCTATTTTTATATTTAATTGAGTTTGTTTACCCATCTAACATCCTTTTGTGTCAAGTGTTTTTCTCAAGGCTTGTAATATTTCTCTTTCAAAGTCCTTTCCTTCATGACAAGCAATTCTTTGGTTGCTTAAACTGACATAGGTGTTCCCACCAAAAGGGGAAGGAGAAGCAGGCTTTTTTGACAATTATTAAAGTAATAACTTTAGGTAATAAATACTGACTCAGTTAATGTTGTCATGAATTATTTCTCTCAAGGGCTTTATGTCTGCCTCTGAAGAGGCGACTGTGGGACTGTGGGCACAGCGCTTGGTTGTAAAACTCCATCTTTCCTTTCTATCTGCCATCGAGCCCATCTTTGCTTTCTCCAGAAGAACTTCTAAACTTTTTCTCCCTCTGGGATTGTCTGACTTCTACAAGACATACAACAGTTGATGACTACTGTAGGTCTGACGGCACAAATGCAGTGGCAAGCAGGGGACTGGCTTTTGGAAGGGCAGGCACTCAGCTAGGTAATGAGTGCATGGGAGAGGGTTTTAGAAATCCCAGCACACCTCAGTGTGGGACATAGAGGGACAGCTCTTTCCTGGTCATGACTAATGCATAACCTTACATTGATGGACCCCTAAGTGGCAAGATGTATAATAACCTCCAGCAACCTATCACTGCCAGGGAAGTGCCTGTATAGTTGGCAAAGACTGCACTCCACATTGTCATGCTTATCCCTCTTATGTCCACCTAGTGAGTCTCTGACATTCCCTGGGTGGTATTGGAATTTGTCCCATGTCCCAGATGTGTGGGCATTCTTGAGTCTTTGGACCCTCTCCTGTACCCAGTATGCACTGCATTGCATTTAATAACATGAGCTCTGCAGCAATTGTTGGCGTTTGAATCCCTCAATCGCCTTGTACTTAGACTGGTTGTGGGATCATTGCAAAATTACTTTATCTCTCTGTGCTTCCACTGCTACATCTATAAAATAGGCATGATGATAGTAACTCCCTCTTAGGGATACAAAATGCTTAAAAGAGCATTGCTGCTGTTTGCTGTTGAGTCAGAACCAACTTACAGCTGACCCTCCTGCGGGTTTTTAGAGGCAATAAAATAGCATGTTTTTTGCTGCTGAGTACCATCTAGTGGGAACCAAGTCATAGCTGACTCTCCAGTGGGTTTTCAGAGGCCGTTAATGGCAACAGAGTAGACTGCCCATCTTTCTCCCGTAGAGTAGCTGGTTCATTTGAACCACAATCATTTGGGATTGCAGCTCAGGTTCTTACCATTAGGCCACCAGAACACCTTAGCAAAACAGCACTGACTTACATCTGCCAAAGATGGCAAAGCTGAGTCTCACACATTCTGGGTGTGTTGCTTTGAGCATGATAGGTTCAGGTCTCTTGTTGATAGAGTTGCTAGGAATTGTACTTGGTTTGATGGCACACACGATGACAAGTACTCATTAATTGTCTTTCATCATAATAATTATTATTCAGAATGTTTATATTAAGTGATAAGAAGTAATGCCATTTAATCATTATAGTTTAAGCTCTGGAAGTATTAAAAATAAAATTTCCTTTTTTATTTTATTTTTTTAAATTTCCTTTTTTTTATTTTGTAGGATACATATAGTCTTCTCTTAGCTTAGCTTCACCTTTTTTAGTAAACTGGAAGCATAGAGAATTTTTTCTCTTTAATGATCCTTTCTTGTTGTTGTGAGGTGCCACCGAGTGGGATCTGATTCACAGTGACCCCATGTACAGCAGAGAAAATCCTGCCCAGTCCCATGCCATCCTCACAATCTCTGCTGTGCTTTAAGCTCACCACTGCAGTCACTGTATCAGTTCATTTCATTAATGGTCTTCTTTTTGCTGCCTCTACTTTTCCAAGCATCATGTCCTTCTCCAAGGATTGCTCCCAGCCTCCTTCAAATCTATTCTGAAAGCTCACCAGTATTTTATTTTCTGATTTTGACCTTGGAATATTTTTAGGTTTGCAGTATTTAAAAAGTGGTTATTGACTTTCTCAGTAGTTGCTTTTACATTGCATTTTTAAAAAATCCATCCATCCTACCAACAAAGGTAATTAGGTGGTTCCTTATGGATGTGATATGGCTTTTTCCCAAATATTTTATGTCAGGAAAAAAGCCCAATTTAATGCAATTTCAAATGGAATATTATTTCTTATGGTTAAGTAGTATTTGTACTGTCTGACCTTTTCTTAAGTTAGAACACATGAAATAAAATATAAAAATGGTTATGTTAGACAACAGTTTCTGGTAGAAACATTATTTACTAGGTTATGATCTTGTCTGGAGTGAAAAGAAACCCTGATTGCTGAGGGAATAACCTTATTGTGTAAATAGCATTAAAGGTCTTACATGTCCTACTCAATAGTTTAATCACCACTTCTTCCTACTGTGATTTTATAACATGTGTCAGACATACTCAGACGAACTGATGCCTGATCTCCACATGTGAGGAGCTCACAGTTATTTAAAGCTTATTAGCTCTGGGACTTGGGTAAAGTTATTTAGCTTCTTTGTGCCTCTGTTTCCTCATCTCTGTGGGTTATAGAGACAACCTTGCTTGCTCAAAGTGAGAAGGACTTGAAGCACTTGCTGCAGAAGATCAAAGAATGTAGCCTTCAATATGGATTGCATTTCCATGTCAAGAAAACAAAAATTCTTCAACATTCAACAAAAAAAAATTCAATAGGTAATGTCATGACAGAGGGGGAAAAGATTGAAACTGTCAATGATTTTATCTTACTTGTATCTATAATCAGCACCCTTGGTACCAGCAGTCAGGAGATCAAGAGACGTACTGCACTGGGAAAGTCTGCTCTCAGGCACCACACCAAATTACCATGGAACAATGATGTCAGTTTGACTACTAAAGTGCATCTGATTCAAGCCATGCTCTTTCTAATCACTTGGTATGCATCTGAAAGCTGGATACTGAATAAGGATGACAGAAGAACTGAGGCCTTTGAGCTGTAGTATTGGAGAATAGTAATGAATATCCCTCAGACTGACAAAAGAACAAACAGATACATGTCTTGGAGAAGGTGGAGCCAGAATGCTCCTTGGAGGCAAAGATGGTAAAGCTTCGTCTCACATACTTCATGTGTATGCAAGGAGAGGCTATTCTTTGGAGAGAGATGGTATGCTTGGAAAAGTGGAGGGCTGGCGAAAGAAACTTTCAACTATGTGGACTGACACAGTGACTGCTGCAATAGGTTCAAGTGTGTCAGACAGTGTTGAGGATGGCACAGGGCTCAGATCTGCTGTTCACAGGGTCACTTCTGATTGTCCTCAACTTGACAGCATAGTGTTTCTGTGAGGATTAAATGAATTAATGTATGTCAATCCTTAGAACAGTACCCAGCATACTGTTATTGCTAATAAATATTATCTGCCATCCACCTCCTCATCTAGTTCAACACTTGCCAAAGTGTGTCCCTTAGTAGATTGATTTTATGGACTATTATGGTTACGTGTTAGAGAAATATTGAGTTAGCAGAGCTAAATAAGTTCTTTATTTTGGTTTCTTAAAAAATTTCTTTTTTTATTAATACTTCAACAAAAGTTTAAACAAGTTCTTTAGTGAACAATTTCTCAGAGTTCAGAACTTGCTGATGGTGTCAGGTATTTTCAAGGAGCTTTGGTGGTTTAGTAGTAAGGAATTGCATTGCCAATCTCAAGGTATGTGGTTTGCATGCAATCACCATCTGTGCGATTTACTGCTTCTGAAAATCCACTGGAGGGTCAGCTACGGGTTTGTTATTTGTTACAACTCGATGGTACACCACCACCACCACCACCAGAATAATGTATGCAGTGTTTTCTAAACATATTGTATCTTTTTAAAGAGTAACTGCCAGGATAGTGGTTTGCATATAGGTTGAAAAGGTATGGAGATAGGATGCACCTCTGGGGTACTCCCTTCCCAATTTTGAACCATGCAGTGTTCCCTTGCTCTGTTCTGACGACTGCCTCCTGGTCCAAGTATAGGTTTCGCATTAGAACGATCAAGTGTTTTGGGATTCCCATTCTTCTCAGAGTTAGCCATAGTTTGTTATGATCCACAGAGTCAAACGACTTTGCGTAGTCAATGAAACACAGATAGACATTCCTCTGGTATTCTCTGCTTTCAGCTAAGATCCATCTAACATCAGCTACAATATCCCTAGTACCACGGCCACTTCTAAACCCAGCCTGGACTTCTGGCAGTTCTCTGCTGATGGGCTGTTCCAGTCGTTTTTGGATAATCTTCAGTAAAATCTTGCTTGCATGTGAAATCAATGAGATTGTTCTAGAGTTTCCACACTCTGTTGGATCACCTTTCTTTGGGATGGTAACAAATATAGATCTCTTCCAGTCAGTTGGCCAAGTGGTTGTTCTCCAGATTTCTTGGCACAACTTGGTGAGCATGTCCAGGGCAGCATCTGTTAGCTGAAATATGTCAACTGGTATACCATCTATTCCTGGGGCCTTATTTTTTGCCATTTCCTTCAAAGCAGCCTGAACCTTTTTTCATCACCATAGGCTATTGCTCATATGTTGTTTCATGAAATTCTTCTGTGTCTGCCAATTCCTTTCAATACAGAGACTCAGTATATTATTTCCATCTTCTTTTAATACTTCTTGGACCATTTACCATTATGCTGAAAGGATTACATTACGTCTATAAATTATTTTT